GTGCTCACCTGTGCTCACCTGTGCCTGCAGCACCGTGTGGAGGAAGCAGAGAAGCGGTCTGCAGTACTGGGGCTCCAGCTGGGCCCAGAAAGGAACCCAGCGGGTCCATTGTCCTCACTTCCAGTTTGAGAAAGGAGATTTCAGCCTGCAGATCGACGGCGTGACGGAGGAGGACGGAGGACTCTACACCTGCAAGGCGGACGTCGGACGCTGGGTCACTCAGAGCCTCGTCAGGCTCCGAGTCATTACAGGTGAGAAGCTCTCAGGTGTCCAACGAACCCGCTCCATGTTCAGAACTTCTACAAACACAACACCGCCTGCAGCTCACTTGAAAACTCTGTGCTGGTCACAGCTGGACCCAGGAGGAGGAAGGTTCTGGGTTGCTCAGAACATGTTCAGAGGTTTGTTTTTGAAGGTTTTCAAATCAAACAGAATCAAGTGATTTTGATGGAATCTTAGATTTGATTCATTTTTCTGATGGGCAGCTAAAATCTGATGATTCTTGTTGTTTTCTTAGTTTCTTTCTGGTAAACTCTGTCATTTCTGGAGATGTTTTTAAGAACAACAGCCTCTCAGAGGGTCAGAACATCCCCTGATGAGTCCAGTCCGTTGTGGTTCTGTGGTCCATCAGTCCTCCTGTGTCCTCCACAGTGTCCGTCTCTCCTCCGGCTCTTCTCTGGGGAAACGACGTCCTGCTCAGCTGTAGCGTGACTCCTCGGCCCGACGTAGCTTCTTTCAACTGGAAACTGAATGACGGCCCGTTGGATCCTCAGATTAGAACCTCCTCAGACGGAGCCAGCGTGTCGCTGAAGGCGAGTCTCAGGCTGTCGGGGAACTGGACCTGCGAGGTGACGTCTGGAGGCAGAGAAGGCCGAGCTTCAGCCGCTCTGACAGTCAGAGGTGAGGCTCTGAGCTGCAAGCAGAACCGACCTCAGACTCTTCTGGTTCTGAACTCTATTGTGTTTGTCTGACAGGAATCCTGCAGCCATCCAAAGAGGACGTCCGGTTCTACGCTGCTGTCGGTTCTGTCGGGTCTCTGCCCTGCATCTTCTCTCCGGGTCTGAAACCTTCAGGTTCTCTGTGGGAGAAGCTGAAGCCCGGTTCTCTGTTCCAACCTGCTGTGGACCGGCTTCCTGCTTCCTTCTCTTCATCCTCATCGCCTGCTCAGCTGCCCTGGGACAAATCCGCCCGTGTGGACCCGGTCGGGTTGGAGGACGGGGGCAGGTACAGGTGTTCTGCCTCTGTGGAAGGACAACGACTGGCCCGGAACATGAAGCTGGTCGTCGCCAAAAGTACGTTTCCACAGATTCTGTCTGAGCCCGAGGACGAAACCCACAAAACGCTTCATGATGATAAAACATCTGAATTCTGTTGTTCTTCCTCTCAGTTGTTCAGACCAAAGAAAAAGGTTCTGTGACGCTGAGCTGCCATCTGAGCGACACCAGCGAGGTCACCGAGTACGACTGGCTCCAGGTGACCTTTGACCCGAACGGCACCGAGTCAGCCCGATCCGTCCTGAAGGGGAAGACTGTGAGGATGAGCCAGGAGTCGGAGCAGAACCAGTGGACCTGCCGGTTCTACGGGAAAGAAGGAATCCTGGGAAATATAACGCATCGGGCTCAGCTCATGGGTGAGTTCTGGTTCTGTTCTACAAATTAAAACACGAGTTCTGTGCTGTTTGGTGTGAAAAAATACGACGATATATGTTCTTACTGGCAGCTTGTGACAAACAGAACCAACAAAACCCGATGAAGCTGTGAATGAGTTAAATTCTTAGGAACAGTGATGAGAGCTCAGAGGATCAACCTCAGGAGAGACGTTCACGTCTCACAGAACCAGACCAAACTGATGATAGTTCTTTATGCTGTGACCCGTTTGAACTGAATAAAGCTTTAAAAAGGAACAGATGCTGTTTTCTGACAGTACTTCTGCTGTTCTTCCTGCAGCGGGTCTGACTGGACACAGCAGCTCTTCGGGCCAGTCCCAGAACATGGCCGCTCTGGTCGGACTCGGCCTCCTTCTCCTGGTTCTGCTGCTGGTTCTGGCTCAGATGTACAAAAACCACCGAAGGGTAAAAAAATGCTTCTCTCGCTAATTTTTTTCCATGAATGATGCAGAATGTGGAGGCGGATGGTCCTCGTGTCCATCAGCTTCACAGGCGACATCCTGCAGCTTTGCTCTAACGCTCTCTGTGTTTCTGCAGAGGAAACAGATCTTCCAGTATCCTGCTCTGGAGACCATCGTTCACAGCATCTCTAATGAGCGAGAGCAGAAAGAAAGAAGCCGAGTGAAGACATAGAGTCTGGTGGAAGCGTTTCCTCGTTTCACCTGCAGCTCGTCGGGAGGCGTCGCTTTGCACAAACTGTAAATATCTCACAGCAGACGATGTAGCAGCTGTTTCACTGTTTAACTGAATGTAATGAAATAAAGAAGGTTGTAAATGTTTTCATGATGTATTTGCATGTTTACCGAAAATGTTTCTGAAATAAAGTGCATTTAACAGAAATAACTCAGTTTGTTGTTTACAGTCTGAATCTCTTTATTACACAAATAAATAAAATACAGACATTTAGAAAAAGGTTTTAGGATATTTACACAAAACACTAAAAAACATATCTTACATTAATTACAGAATTAAAATACCTTAATACCCTGAACCCTCCGTTCATCGTGTAAAACGCTGCAGCCGTCAGGTTTCTACACCTGACAGCACTCGCCGTCCTCAGACGGTTCGTCCAGATGCCACAGGACCAGAGATCTGCTGATTCCCGTCACCAGGCCTTCGTCTCCGGGATGAAGATGAGCCATGACTTCATCGTCGTCGAAGCACCAGCCGGACCAGTCCACGTTGACGCCGTCTGCAAACGCAGAACTGGAAGACAGAGACGGAAACACAGCAGAAAGACCATGAAGCTCACAGACCGAAAACCAGCAGAGAAGAAGAAGTTCAGAGAAGATCATCGAGTTCTGCTCTCAAATCACAACATGCTGCAAATACCAAAAGTTAAATTGTGCAAAATGACCAGTTTTATCATTAAATCTGAATTACTGACGAATTTCTGTGAACATCCGTCTGAATGAAAAGTCTTCACATGAAATAACTCATCATAAGATATCTGTCGTTATCAAACTACTGTGACGGAGCAGAAGCTTAAATCAGCAGAAATACCTCATCTGGTACTTGAGTAAAAGTATCCAGTTACTATCCAGCAGTGATGAGTACTTTACACACAGTAAGTGAAGCATCGCCGAGGTTTCAAAAAAGGAAAACTTTGATGAATACTGCAGGAGATTTTTACTGGAACACAAAGAAAGAATAAAGAAACTGGATTTTCTCACGTAAACAAAAAGACACTGAGCAGGTCTGAAGCCTTTCTGTCCACTCAGACATCACTGTGGACAGTCCTCACACCAAAACTACTTCATCAGTCCTCCAAACCAGCAGGAGCTCACCTGCTCTGATCATCGTCTTTATTCACATTCACCCTGAAACATTTAATTATGAACCCTGGATGGAGGAAACCTGTGGATGATCATTATTCTACAGAAACATGTGAATAAGTGCAGAGTCCACGTGTCTTCAGCTCTCCACTGAGGGAAGCTGTGCCGTCCACTTCATCAGAGGCTTTATTCTGTCATCAGGCCCAGTTCACTGGAAAACAGTCATGTTCTGACAGACTGACCATCTGACATCATAGAAAAGCTAAACTGTGACTTACTGAGCACCACAGACAGACGTCAGCCGTAAGCTGGGAGGTTTCACGCTGATGTTTGTTTCTACATCTAACTTATGGTTTTAATAAAAGACGAATCAGTTTTTCCTCCAACTCTGATCCATAACGCTCAGCCCAGCAGCTCTTCATCCACCACACTCCTCTGCTTCATTTCTGTCCGGATTCTGGAGGTTTGTACCACAAAATGAAACTGGACTTATTTAAAGAACGGTTCTGTTCTGGACATCTACGCAAAGTTGTGTGATTTTAACAAGAAAATAAATCATTTGCATCGATTTGTACTCAGAGCGTCTCACTCAGAAAAACAGACACTGAAAAAGGTTTTATGTCTAAGAGGAAGTTAAAAATCATTTTTTTGTGATTTATGATTGATGTTTGACAATTTCAGATGTTTCTTGGTGGAAAAACCTGCTTGTTGCGTGAGTGAGGATGTTGTGGTTTGACGTGCTGTAATTTGAAGTTTCCATTCTCACAGAACAATGAAAACTCATCTCAGTAGCAGACGTCTGGCAGCGATCACATCCACCCAGCAAACAACAACACCTGCCTTCAGCGGCTCACACGTCTTCTTTAAACTCTGGGGCCTCATTCAGAACGTAGCAGGAAAACACAGACAGGACCTGCTGTCACTGATTTAAAGGGTTTAGGATGAGTGTCGACTGTCTGCTGCTGGACCAACAGCTGCCGACAGAAGAGACTCGTTCAGTGTTTCTGCACATCAGCAGGAACCTGGTTTAATGAAGCTCAGCTCAAACCACAGCGTTACTGAAGCTGAGGTCAGTGGAAAGTTTGGTGGTTCTGCTCTCAGCTTCAGTTTCCTCCTAATAACCCTTTACTCAGCGGAACCAGTGAGGTTAACCCGGTTAATGATCACTGTCTAATGACATGGACAGTTCCTGACTGACCTGTTGTATGTGACTGACATGAAGGTTCTGGTTCATATTTATTATCTGTTTCATTGTTTATTCGATGGTTCAGACTAACCACTAACTAATAAGTAAATACCTGCTGGTAACTAGTTGCTCTTTCAGCTCCTGAGTTACACCAGTTGTCTCCTCTGAACAAGCTTGTTGGTGAGAGTTTATTCCAGATCCTCCACATCACTCATCAAACAACAGTTGGATCTTTGTCAGAACTAGTTGGATGTTTGGTTGCACTGGTTGAAGAAAAACTCTTACTAGTCACTCTTTTTTTAGCAACTAAGTGTGATTTTGTCCAACTGGTTTCACCAGAAGCCTCTCTAGTTAACCCAGGCATCAGCAGCACCAAACTGCCAGATAGTTAACTGTTTAACTAGTGGCCCTGTGGACCAAACAACTGGAAGTTACACTAACTAACTTGTACGCTGCAAACACACACATTAACTAGTCAAACATACCGACAGTCTTCTGCACTAGTTAACTAGTGACACTCAAAATGTTTACCAGTTAACTAATGACTAATTTTGACTTAACTGCTTAAACATTGAGGTCAACTAGCTGCGACTGAGACTCAAAATGTTTCTTTTAATGGTTTTCCCCATGTTAACTAGTTACCAG